AACGTTGCGAAAGGCAGATCGCCGGGTGTGCTCAAAGATCTAGGATCGCGATCCATGCGAACGATTTCGGATGGAAGAAACATCATCGCTCTCCGCCTCGCCAACCGGTGGCGCGTCCACGTGCACTTAGGGACTTATCCGCCGGGGCCGTTGTTAAAAACGCATTCGTTCGAGCGAACGTTTCGACCAGGTACGCGCGTGCACAGCTCCAGTCAAAGTTTGGTAACCGCGAACCCTCCCGTCCGCCTACCACCCGGCAACCATATCCTCCGTGCCCTATGCGCACGCGAACCTCGGAAAGTTTCTTATCGAAGATTTCAGAATCAACCGCATACTTTCAAAGCTCCCGCCGCGTCTCAAACTTGGACCGATCGAACTTGCAAAAGCCGCTGTGCGAGGTCGGTCGGCCGGTCGGTCGGTCGGCCGAGGCCAAGTCGAAACGCGTTAAAACGGAGTTCCGACTTGACGAACAATCCGCTCGAACAAACTTCGTCTCCCGCCGCCCCCGCAGCCCCCGCCGATTTGGTTTGCTGCGCACAGCCTACGCGGCATCGTGTCGATAACTCCTGGGGCACATTCGATACGCTCGCCGGGAACGATTCACCGCCGCAAATCAGTGCCGTCGGTTTTGTTTTCGTCCCGAGCACACGTTTGCATCGCGGAGATCAGTACGAGTCATTCCGTTTCTCTGTTAAATATTCGCAACTTGAAAACTTGAACAACTTGCCGATACACGCTGCACATCACCTCTCCTATGATTGTCAACACTCCGAGACTTTATACATCAAAATTATATCATACTTACCGATATATCTCTACGGAGAAGAGTAATTTTTCGCGAAAACAACGTGTCGATAAAGTATTCAATAACGATAGCGAAAAAGTGTAAAACATTGTAACCCGCTGGAAGTTTCTAAATAAGAATAACGGTCCTCCCGTGACTATTACTTTCGAATATTCTCTACTCACTGTTATAATACTAGTATCGTACGATATTTTATTAACTATAGATGTGTTTGACGGTTGTTCTCGGACATGATTTTTCCGTATTTCGCGTCGCTGTCGCACGACAGTTGTTATCGTGTTGGCTTAAAACCAGGGGTGGCCAACCCAAATTATCTTGCTGGCCACTTTGGAAACACAACACGAATCCGCGGGCCACGTGTACAATTATATTCGTATTTTGCTGCAATACAAAAAAAATTTGGAGTAAACATTTTAAACAGGATTAATTATTATTAAAAAATAATTTTTGGTGTATTAATTATTTGAAATGAATAGAATGAATAATTATTGTTTTTATAACCGTATACCTGAATCTAATTCTTTCAAGAACTCTTTAAACTGTCGATGCGGAAGGGCATGTGATCGAATGTAATTCACTGTTTTTTATGACTACTAGAATAACATGGTTCATCGACAAATACTTGGGAACAAAGATTTTGTTGATGAATCAGTTTGTTAATAATACGGATTCCGTGTTGTGTGGGCATTCCAGAATATTTTATTGGGAAAAAAAATAATTTTTTATTCTTAAATGTTTGATAATCTCGCGCGCCGCAAACATTCCAAGGCCGTCCACATGCGGTCCGCGGGCCGCGGGTTGGCCATCCCTGGCTAAAACGATATGTGCCAAGACCGTTGTAGAATGTTGATAACACTTTTATACCTTTCAAATAGCGTTATGGGTTTACGCCGTGGATAAAAATAATTACATTTAATTCATGTTTTACCTATATACTTAGAATATTATATATTACCGTCAAATGAAAAATAATGCCTGGCTTCGTACACCTTATAAAGTGGGTTGACATTTTTTTCGTGTCGTATTATTTAATTAATTCAACAAATTATACTATAATTAATTTTAATTTAATCCTAAATGGTCCTCATTATGTAAATTACAAGTACAGAGTACACTATCTCTTGTGCAATATATATGTTGCGTATGTTCATTATCATATTATATAATTAGTTTTACACTCAAACGTGATATTTAATAACTATTTAAGAAGATATTTTATTTTGCTTGTCCCACCGTGGTCAAATCGTACCTATCGTTTGCTATCACCCTCTTTTTCTCTATGTATATTTGTAGCTTCTGCATCGTGATGCGGGAAACTATATGGTAATCCGTTGAAAACTTTTCGAACATCGTTTAAACGTGATTCAGGGTAGGGAAACAAAAAGTGACAATAAAAACTTATATTCAACGTGCATGTTATTCGACAAATCGTCTTTATTGCGTATACTTGATTTCTGCCAAGTCTCTGGACGATTTGATTGCACTTGCACTAATCCACGAGAACATTGCAAATTTTATACGAAACACGATTATATATATCTACAAACATATGGTAAGATATGGCATGCGTAAACCGCGCCTAAATTACCTTGTTTTAGGTGAACTGCGCTCTGATTATAATTTAGTTCAAAAGAGATGTACCTATGAAAACTGCGCCTCGATTACAACTTTAATGTTCACGTGTTATCTTACTATTGTGATATGAATATTGATGGTTTACACGATATGCAACATTGATCTACTAGTATCCGAACTTTGAATTAAATTGATTTAATAATCAGTGAAGTCACCGCGATGGTCGATCGATTCGTGTCGCAGCGCGAAAAGTGCTTGAAAATAATATCAAATTTTACGTTTCGTTGAAGTAATCGAGCTTTATGTTCAGGTGAGTTAAGTGGCGAGTTAAAAATTGCAAGGCTTTATTAAAAACGGTAGCTGATGACGATGGAATAACATAACGAAACCTAAACATCAATATCGAATTTTGGATATAATCTTGGACACTTTACGTATACGATTATGTGTTGACCCTTGCATTGGTCGTAGTTTATAGCCACCAGCGGGATATTGTAATTAAGCCTAAGGCTTGCGGTCGTAGCGTACATGGCATGGGGGAGGGGGGGAGAGAGACTCTTATGAACATGCGAGAGATAAGGGCACATGTGTGGCGGAGGATCGTTACGGCGGTCGGCGTCAGAGGAGTAATCCTGGCGCGAACGCGGGTTAGTAGTAACGGCCACGGCAGGGCGAGAGGAGACAGAGAACCTTATCCAGAGAAGGGACGCGCATACGGATGGGAAGGAAAAGAGCGGGCGCACAGTTACTGGAAAATACATTACGGCGTGCCGTAGCGGTGGTGTCTCTTATCGCGTGAGGGCCGAGAACCGTTCGAGAGAGAACCGCGGCAGCACCGCCGACCAACCGCATTCGGTTTCCGTTCACGCCTCCCTCTTCACCCCCGCACCCCGACACAGCAGCGGCCGATCCTAATGTCGGACGGTCGGACGGTCGGACGGTCGGTCGGCGGCGCGCCCGTTCTCCGGGGAAGCATAAATCATCGGACGCCGGTTCGCCGGGCACGAAACTTTTCGGCGGAGCTCTTCTCTGCGCTCGCGGCGCGCGACGGGATTGTTTTTGAAGTTTTAATCGCGACGACCCTGCGCGCGGATGCGCCGACCTAACCGGATCCGAAATCCTGTCCTCCCGAAACGCCGCGGTTAACGCAATAACAACAATGGTACGCGCCTCTGTTGCCGTGCCCTTCGGGTCGAAAGGACCTGTAACGATGCACTATTTTTTTTTCCGCGACCGATTCATCGCTGCACATCCCGTTACACGCTAAACATTTTTACGCGCTTAACGTACAATTGTTACGCGTGTCCACGCGGCCGTCACGCACCTGTCGAGATTGACCCTCAGCCGGGGATGCTGAACCGTCGTGATCTCTGGGTCGAAAAAGGGTGAGCGCGGACCGGTTGGCGAGGGATAACATGCCGGTAACGCAAGGTGGTTGCGAAAAGAACGCTAATGGAGAACTAACGTTTGGTCATTTTTTTTTTTACTTTTTCCTAACCAGTCCCTCGACGTCCGTACAACGTGTCGACGGTGATCGTAAATCGATGTAATCTCGCAATGGCAATGCAACGGTAAATATTCTCAACGCAGTGTTGCGCTCAGAGTTATTCGAACACTCGATCAGTATATTCTACCGCGTTGTTCGAAACGAAAAAACACCCATCGAAGGGTGAGTCCACGAAATACTGAAATCTTTTCGGAAATGTACTACTGCTAATATTGCAGGGGGAGGGATGGCCGATTATTTTCGCTAACGTTATAGTTCGACAATATAATATCAATAATTATAATAATAATAATAATTACATGTTATTTGAACGTATATTTTCCCTGTTATAGTGTTATAGAGTTTTCAATAAAAATACACATGTCAGTCAGCCGGTTCGGGAGAGGTGCGAACATGCTCCGCACCGCACCATCTTCGATATGCATACAACTATAGACAACTCTCAAACGTGCGCTAATAATCTAGTCTTCTGGCCCGGAGGTACGCCAACAGCTGCGTTTACTAGTCGCAAATCAATTATTTCGCATCGCATGTTCTGGTATTAAAATTTATTCCCCTTTACATCATCATTCACTTCACCGGTTCACGTCGTCGAGTACCTTCGATCTTTGTGACAAAGTGTACCTGTGATTCTGTTTCATGTCGAAATCAAAAATCACCCATTGGAAATTTAAAATTCGTGAATGGGAAAGTTTGTTTTTGGAATTCCTCGACAGTTTTTGAAGAATCCAATGAAAATTTGTTGAACAACTGAACGATTTGAAAGAGAAACCCGCCTATGTTTACATCTATCTTTTAGAGACTTAACATTTTAAATTATTAAATCACAAAATCCAGAACACATAATTGCAAATAATAAGGACAATACGAAGGCAGTTTATACGATCATGGAAATTCGTTGTAATTTATCTCTACAGCAATACCGCACGGTATACTTTTATTTCTATAAATATGCATTGAACGTGTTATGAAATTAAGCTTCTAAAACGTTTCTTTTTTCTTCGTATCACACGCTCCGTTGAAATTTTTCCATTTTTTCGATTTTAAATACAGAACTCGAACGAATAAATATCATATACACAATGTAATTGTTCAAAAATTCTACCTCTGATATTTTATAATGTTATATTATTGTAACGTACACGAATACATTATACATAGGCATAAAATATATTATAATAATATGATGCGCTGCTCTTGCTCTTTGCATCCGGCGGACGTTCGGCGGGTGGCGAAAGTACGTATATATACGTATACATTCAATATAATACCATAACAATGTCGAAACTTGTTCCCTCGCAGCTCGTTATTTCCCATTCGCAATATTCACGCTCGAAAAGTCGCCGTAGCTGCTGCAGTGTGCCTGCAAATAAAATTATAGGCTTAAAAAATACATATATACCTTTTTGGTTATATTATTTTTTATATGTTATAATATACGTGCCGTATACGTGAGTGCATACGAGCATTATGCGCGCACAGGAAGAAACTGTTTCCTGCGAGTCGCTTACTGTTTTCTAACATCCTTTTATTATGAACCTGTATTCTATCGATTATCGAGTTCAACCGGTGAATATATGGCTTAATATTTAGCCTTATAACAATAATACGCATATAATTATTTAGGTACGCTGTATACCGTCGTGTTTTCACTATGCAGTAGTTAATAAATAGACACCGCGTACCATAGGACATTTTAATTTTCAAAATTAAATGTTTACCAATAGTAAAAAACAATATATTTGATTCGGTTTGTGGACTGTATTGTGGACGTGCGTGCGTACGTGCCCGTCGCACCTACGGACGGGATTAAAAAACGCGCTTTCACCTGAATTATTCTACGGGAGATTATGTTAATACAAACGCGGGCTGTTATTATTACGCATATATTGCACTGCAAATATTTGATCGCCCGAAACAGTGGCGAGTTCGTAACGATTACAGCGGTAGACGCGGCGCGTGGAGTAAGTACGACGGGTAGTGAACAAGTAAATTAGGTAAAATGTGTGCTAACATGATTATGCGTACCTACCGAGCGCAGTTATCGCGTTTAATCCAATGGCGTACTTCTAGGGGGAGTGACGACTCAAATTCTTTCTATAATTCAGACTCAAAATTTACAAATCAAATTTTGGTAATATTTAAATCGGGCGAATCCTAAATATTTGTGGTTTTTTTTTTTTTTAATCTAATGTCGGATCCACTTAGAATCGACTTTTGTGTAATTTTTTTTTTTTTACATCTGTCTGTGTTTTGAAAGTTACGCTTGTGTTTTATTTGATTTTTCACTAAGTATGGACCCGACAAAAAGCCCAATTCAGTATTCACAGCCACGCGTTAGGTTAGGTTAGGTTATCAAAAGTGATCCACATTAAAAAAAATGTGTAATGTGTATCTCACATACTCGTATAATCGATTCCTTAAATACGGATTCAGAGAGGGAGGGGGTTGACCGCCCCCCCTCGCCCCCTAAAATACGCCCCTGGTTTAATCTACTGCAGCGTTGCGAATCGTAACACTACGGACCGTTACGTTTTAGTCCAGTGGTGGCCGAAGTGTTCGGCGGTCGCGACGATGCACCGCTGACGATTAGAAGTTTCCTATTGAGAACACGACTGCAACCGCGAACAACGCGCGCGCAGTATATATTATCACTGTGGTCACGCACTGCGCAGCGGAGCGCCATAAGCACACGTTTGGACAAAATACATAACACGCGCGGTGGTGCTGCTAACTACTTGGTCCACGGTGCATCGGTGCATAATTTTTTTTTTTTTTTTTATGCGAATCGAATATGAAAACAATCTTATTACACGTACGCAGTATTTCGATTGAAGTCCGCTGCGAATTCATTTCCCCCCAGGAAATGCGTTAAAATACTCTGCAGTCGACCCGGATGAATAAATGCTTTGACGGAATATGCATAACGGAACAGTAAAACGTTACGGAGAAACGAACGATGTTCTGTTTGAAAACTATTACGTCGTAACCGTCGATTTATTTATCCCCCGCCCACCGCGAAAACGATGATTTTGTTTACTTTTTTTACTCGAGCGTTACGCGAGTATCGAAAACAAATCTCGGATCACGTGCACTGCATTAGTGCTCAGTGAACGGCATGCGTTTCGCTTTCGAAATACCAAATTACTCGACGCTGTGATTTTGTGATTATTACGTGCGAGGATTTATTTAAAAAGGTACACGAAACGTCTCCACAAAATTATGAGCGTACAGAGAACGATGGAGAGAGAGAGAGAGAGAGAGAGAGAGTGATTGGGTCTTTGCGAACGAAGAAAAAAAAACAGAAATCACACCGAGTTCAATGGGTTTGATTATCCGGGAGTGCAAGCGTTGCGGTCGTAGTACACGAAATGAGAATTCCGCCGTACCGTACGACGTTTTGAGCGTTTACGGCTCTGTCGACGACGACGCTTAATCGAGTTCCGGATTTAAGCGCGCGAATAACGCGGCTCGGTCTGCACGTATTGCACACACCCCCGAACACGTTACAACGTACCGACGAGCGCGGTGGTAAAAACGTGCAGTTTTAAAGAAGGGCAACTGCGCGTTGTGTATACGTGTTACGTTTATTTTTTTCGTACTTTATATACACGTTTCCGTTACGGCTTGGTGCTGGAAACGGGACGAGAAGTCGATCGAACCGAAGGGGTTTTTTTAACACACCCCCACCCATCCCCCTACCGGTCGGAAGAGAACAAAATAAGTAGAAACGAAACAAAACGCGGTCGTTTTCCGATGTCGAGATCGACGTCGATTATTACGCCGCCGCCGCCGCCGCCGCCGTCGCAGCCGATTTCAATACGGTCATTCGTATTCCACACGCGTGACCTTCCGCCCCTCCGCCGGCGATCTTCGTTTTGGGTTCCGGATTTAGGGCGGCGGCGAGTAATGCTAGTATGTGACAGTTGTGCGAAAACGGAAAAGCAGCAATGATTGATCGCAAACCGATTTTTGTCCACGTCCGCGATTCTTCCGCCCGCTACCGTCCCTCCCCGATGCGCCCACGTCCTTCGACGCGTCGTCAAAACCCCACGCGAGAACAGCCTAACCTCACGGTATTATTAGTCTGGTTCGAGAAAACGTCACGCGGAGCAAACGTATCGAATCGTCCTGACACGAGATTTTATTTCGTAAACCGTGTGCAATTGGACACTTGATCTATTATATTGTACCTGGCTGTTCGAAAATTCCATTGAAATCAACCGAACGATTATTTGTGCGACGAAAAAAAAAAAGCGTACCGCTCTCCAAAAGGTACGAAAAGGAACATTGTACGTACAATTATTTGTAAGGCTTTTTAGAATTTCGAATAATTTAAATTCGAGCGTGAACAAAGGGCGAGAACACTTAAGAAATCGCCCCGATGACACCGTGGTTCACGCATGCACATTTATCTTTATATGTATAAATGCGAAAATGAAATCTTTGTCACACATATTCTCCGATACTAATCCGATAGTTTTAACGAAAGAGTACGTCGCGGAGCAGGTTTCAAGCTTGATTTCAATTCTATTAGTTAATCGAATGATTATTATTATTATTTCGAATTGTTTATAAATACATTTCATTGGTGACTCAAAGAATGAAGTAAAAATGCGTTTGTCTGTTGCTTCCGATACCGATAAACAAATATTGTACGATTTAAAAAAGACGATTATGACTTATTTTTTTTTTTAATTTTTATCTGCTTATAGTAACCTAACCTAAATTAAAGATTAGCATTTATTTGGAAGGGCGTAGCCGGATAATTCCACTGGTATGTTATGTGCGTAAATCGCCGAAAGGTCATCTCCTCGCCCCCGCGAACTGTGGCCGCCATCATACGGCGTACGCGTAATGCGGACAAGGTTTAAGGATCGTGTCTTGTTTACACGTGGTGGTGGCGGTGGTGGTGGTGGGGCGGTGGCGAGCCTTTGACAGAGGGATAGAAATCACGTCGACCGGGGAATGGCTTTTACGCGCGCCCGGCGAAAGGGTACGGCCAAAGGCCAAAACTTTGCAAAGGCCAGTTACCGCGGGCACCGCCGCCTCCCATCGACAATCGCTCGCGACGCAGTGCACGTCACGTAACGGAAGGGCTTCCTTCGATCCCGTTCGAAAATCCCCTTTGTTCTCGAATTAATCATAAGTCCTTTTACGCGTCCGCACCGCCACCACCGATGCCAAGACCATTAAAATACTCCGTCGAGGTCGACCACTTGACAACGTTAATTACGTGTCCATCGTATTATACGCAGCAATGACTGCGCTACTTACACGCCTGTTCTAACTTCCACACCAATACATTATGACCTTTTAATCGAACGTGGTTTTTTTCCAAATTCGCTACAAACTAATTTTCCGACATGCGAAACGATCGCAATCTCCAATTCATACACATCAAAATTCTTAATAATCCACATTAATTATGTCAACAGTTACGTTGAAAACCGTGCTTAATAGACCATATTTTTTTATGTATACTTAATGGGTGTAAATAAATCATAAAAATTAATCTAAAAACCCTAAAACGTTACACTCAATTCAAATATAATATTTTAAACCCTTGAAAACTGTCACTGCTATTTTTTAAACTCGGCTAATCCGTAAGTCCGATTTCGAGTGTCCTTAACTTGTTGTCGTATGTAATCTCAGATATCAATAAAGTCTTAACGAAGAAGTGTCGAAGAAAACGTGACAGAGACTGTGATTTTGATTTAAACTACGGGCTATCGGGCTACAGCTTTTATACCGTACCCGTAGTTGTACGCGGTTGTCTCGAACGTTTTATTATTTTAATGAACTACTGTAAAACTATACTCGTATCATCGTAAATGTGTGCGATAATACTTTTATTCGGACTCGTCAGTATTCTGCGTGCAAACCGTTTTCAAATACGATCACTTTACTGCACTGTGCCGTTGGGTAATCCAAATTAATAATTCCGTTACTTTTCAGATAAACGGTAATTATTCACCACCGTAATGGGCTTTTAATTAATAATTCGTTTAGTGCGTTCCCCCTACCGCGATTGTATAGATAACGCGTTTCGCAAGACACCGCCACCAGAACAACTCGTATACAACGATTTGTGTACAATCGATTTTATTTCCTGAGGTTTCCCAAGTATTTCGTTTTTTTCTCCCTTTTCGCGGGACGCACACGACTCATCACTCGTGTATTATGCTAAACACCTGCAAATCGGTATGAAACGTAAAATTGCACAACCCTGCGATGCGCTAGGGGAGCAATGCGATCACTGTTGTAACACCTCATCACCGTGATGTATACCGCTGTGTAGAGTAACCGGTCATTTTGGTGAAATCCATTTCGGCGAATGTGTACAACGGTGAATCCGCGAAA